AGTTCATTTTTGCTTTTGTTTCCCTTGCCTCCGGAGACATGTCTAGTAAGAAGTTGCTACGGCCAATGTCAGAGAGGTCGCTGCCTGTGTTCTTCTCTAGGATTTTGATGGTTTCTTGTCTCACATTTAGGTCTTTCATCCATTTTGAATTTATTTTTGTGTATGGTGTAAGAAAGTGGTCCAGTAGTATTTCACATGTTTTTTTTTTTAAAGATTTATTTATTTGAAAGAGAATGAGAGAGCACATGAGAGGGGGGAGGGTCAGAGGGAGAAGCAGACTCCCCGCCGAGCAGGGAACCCGATGCAGGACTCGATCCAGGGACTCCAGGATCATGACCTGCGCTGAAGGCAGTCGCTTAACCAACTGAGCCACCCAGGCGCCCTCACATGTTTTGATAGTATTGTAAATTGTATTTTTAAAAACTAAATGGCCTAATAGAGTGAGTTGGGAAATATTCTCTCCTCTTCGGCATTATTCCTGAATGATCCATTGGATGTATATTATGCCTTTTATTTATCAAGTTACAGTTGTTGGAATTGTTTTCAGTTTGAGACTATTATGAGAATTGCTCTATACATTCAGGTACAAACTGGAAATGTTCATTTCTCTTTGTTAAGTTCCCCTGAGCAGAATGGTTGGCTCGTAGGGCAAGTATATGTTTAACGTTTTACAAAGTTTTCAAAGTGCGTGTACAAGTTTACATTTCTGCCATCAGTGTATGAGAGTTTCAGTTTCTCCACATTCTCATCAACATTTGGAATTATTAGTCTTTTTGATTATAGTCATTCTAGTTGGTGTATAGTAGAATTTCATCATCATCTTAATTTCCCCAGTGACAAATAATGTTGATCATCTTTTCATGTGCTATAATAGACATTAATATGTCTTCTGTAGTGTAATGTCTATTTAAGTCTTTTCTCATTCTCTAAGTGAGTTGTTTGCCTTCCAAACAAATTAAGTTTTTACAGTTATTTGTATATTCTACATAGTAGTCCTTTATCAGATATATGATTTGCAAATATTTTCTCCCCAAATATAGCTTACTTTTTCCTTTTGCTTTATAAAGTCTTTTGATGTGCAAAATTTAGTACAAGTTCAATTATCAGTTCTTTTATGGTTCACTGGTTTAGTGACATGTCTAAGAATTCTTTGCCTAAGCCACAGTCATGAGAAATGTCTCCTATGTTTTCTGCAAGATAGTGTGTGTATATGTATGTGTGTATAGATGTAGATGTAGATGATGACTTTGTTTTTTAGAGCAGTTTTAAATTCCCAGCAGCATTGAGTGGGAAGTGTGCAGAGACTGCTTGTGTATACCCTACTCCCCTACACATACAACCTTCCTCACTGTCAACATCCTGCACCAGAGTGGTGTGTTTGTTACAATTACCATATCCACATGTTATCACCCAAAGTGCATAATTTACATTGGTGTAGGGTTCTCTCTTGGTATTGTTCATTCTGTGGGTTTTGACAATGTATAATGATATGTGTCCTCATTTAGTATGTTACAGGTTGGTTTCACTGTTCTAGAATTCCTCTGGTTTCTGCCTATTTATCTTTCCTCTCCCCCAACTCCTAGCTACCACTGATCTTTTTTCTGTCTCCTTAGTTTTGCCTTTTCCAGACTGTCATATGGTTGGAGTCCTACAATATGTAGCCTTTTCCGATTGGCTTCTTTCACTTAATAATATGCATTTAAGTTTCCTCCTTTTCTTTTCATGGCTTGATAGCTCATTTCTTTTTAGTGCTGAATAATATTCCATTCTCTGGATGGATAAAGCTGCTATAAACATCCATTATCAGGTTTCAGCTCCTTTTGGCAAATAACAAGGAAAGTGTTGGATCATATGGTAAGAGTATGTTAGTTTTGTAAGAAGCTGCCAAACTATCTTCTAAAGTGGTTGAATCATTTTGCATTCCCACCAGCAATAAATGAGAGTTCCTTTTGCTGCACATCCTTGCCAGCATTTGGTGTTGTCAGTGTTTTGAATTTTGGCTATTCTAATAGGTGTGTAATGGTATCTCATAGTTGTATTTTAATTTGTAATTCCCTAATTATATATGATGTTGAGCAGCCTTTCATATGCTTATTTGCTATCTGTGTATCTTCCTTGGTGAGGTGTCAGTTTGGGGCTTTTGCCCATATTTTAATTGGGTTGTCTTATTGTTGTGTTTTAAGAGTTCTTTGTGTATTTTGGATGTTTATCATATATGTCTGTTGCAAATATTTTATCTAGTCTGTAGCTTGTCTTCTCATTCTCTTGAGATAGTTTATATTTCTAGCTGTTACATTGAAATTTATTATCTTTTTTTTGAGAGAGAGCACCCACGTGTGCGAGGGGTGGGGGAGAGACAAAGGGAGAGGGAGAAAGAGACTCTTAAGCGGGCTCCACACCCAGCATGGAGCCCCACGCAGGACTTGATCTCACAACCCTGAGATCACAACCTGAGCTGAAATTAAGAGTTGGACGCTTAACCAGCTGAGCCACCCAGCCAACCAAATTGGCATTCCTGGGCTAAATCTCCCTTAGTCACTGTCTGTAATCCTAGATTTTTTTAGTTATCCTAGATTTGTTTTGCTAATATGTGTTTTTTTCCCTTTAAATTCTAGTTTGTTGACATACAGTTCAATATTGGTTTCAGGAGTAGAGTTCAATGATTCATCCTTTACATATAACACCCAGTGCTCATCATAACAAGTGCCCTCCTTGATACCCATCACCTATCTGTCCCATCCCCCACCCACTTCCCTCCATCAACTCTGTTCTCTGTAGTTGAGTCTCTCATGATTTGTTACCCTCTCTCTCTTTTTTTTTTTAAGATTTTATTTATTTATTTGACAGAGACAGCGAGAGAGGGAACACAAGCAGGGGGAGTGGGAGAGGGAGAAGCAGGCTTCCTGCCGAGCAGGGAGCCCGATGCGGGGCTCGATCCCAGGACCCCAGGATCATGCCTGAGCCGAAGGCAGATGCTTAACAACTGAGCCACCCAGGCGCCCCCCCCCATGTGTTCATCCGTTTTGTTTTCTTAAGTTCCACATATGGGTGAAATCATACTGTATTTGTCTTTCTCTGATTGACCTATTTCGCTTATTGTTTTGGTAATATGTTAACAATTTTTCACCTATATTCATGAAAGAGATTGGTCTGTAATTTTCTTCTTCTGTGATGCCTTTGGCTTTGGTATTTTGGTGATAGTGACATCATAGAAGGAATACATCTGGGCCTAAGCTTTTCTTTGTGAGACTTTTGTTTTGTTTTTTTTCTTAAGTAGGCTCCATGCCCAGCATGGAGCGCAAAGTGGGTCTAGGAGATCAAGACCTGATCGCTTAACCAACTGAGCTACCCAGGCGCCCCTGTGAGACAGTTTTTAATTACTAATTCAGTTTCTTTTTAAATGTCTATTTGGGTTTTTTGGAACTGTTCTTCTGTCAGTTTTGTTATTTGTCTCTTTCTAGGCGTTTGTCCATTTCATCTAAGTAATATTTATTTTTAATCCATGGTTACTCAGAAATGTGCTAATTAATTTCCAAATATTTGTGTATTTCCTGAATTTCATTCTGAAGCAGATATCTAATTCAATTATGTTGTGGCTGGAAAATATATTTTAAATTTATTGACATTTGTTTTCTATCTTAAATTACCGTCTTTCCTGGAGAACGTTTCATGTACCTTTGAAGAAAATGTATATTTTGTTCCTGTTGAGTGTGGCATCAAATAACTGTCAGTTGATTATGGTGTTGAAGTTCTAAGTATCTCTGCTGGTTTTCTTTTCTTTTTTCTTTTTTTTTTTTTTAATTATTGACAGTGGGATTTTGAAACTTTCACCTATTATTGTTGAATTTTCTATTTCTCTCTTTAATTCAGTTTTTGTTTGTATTTTGTGATTCTGCCATTAGGTGTATATAGATTTATAATTTATAGCTTCCTCATTTGTATACCTTTTCTATCATTATTGCCAACCAGAGAAAACTCATATAAGCCTTGGCACCAGAGTTTTTATTGGAGTTAATGAACACAGACATGACTGACTGCCTGTATGGCTGACCTTAGTCTCCTCCAGCCCCTCCAGAGGCCCGGCTGATACCACGTGGTCCAAGGCCCTTCACCGTAAATCACTTTATTAGAATAGACTGCCTTGCATTGCCCAAGCCTCCCAGGTGAGCAGAGACACTTTTATCAGGCAGGATATTCCAAGAACTTAGAAGTTTCCTCCTAGAAACTAAGGGCAAAAGCCAAACCTCTGTTGGGCAAGGTTAATCATTTAGTGCATCAAGTGGATAAGACAGTCCTTATGATTTGCTTGGTACATTAGTCTTCACACTGAAGTGTGTGTACCCATGGAGCATATAAAGACTTCCAAAGCAGTGCATGAGCATACATGCTTTTTATTTTATTTTATTTTTTAAGATTTTATTTATTTATCTGACAGAGAGAGACACAGCGAGAGAGGGAACACAAGCAGGGGGAGTGGGAGAGGGAGAAGCAGGCCTCCTGCCGAGCAGGGAGCCCGATGCGGGGCTCGATCCCAGGACCCTGGGACCATGACCTGAGCCGAAGGCAGACGCTTAACGACTGAGCTACCCAGGCACCCCACACATGCTTTTTAAAGACACAGTGTCTAAGCTTTGCGCAGAGGCAGTATTGTAGCCGATGAGGTTTATCCGAGGCGCGATTATTACTAATTAAAGACACAATGTCCAGATCTTTGGAACCTCCCATATGTCGTAAATGGATGTGCTTGATAATCCACCTGCCTCTGAGGCATCATGCTCTGCTGCCTTTGCTTTCCCACCTCCCCTTTAATACCCATGCCACTTCTTCTTCACAGAGGAAAGGCATACCTTTCACTCATTTAGAACCCTGCTTTACTGCCCTAGAGTGTGAAAGCCTCGGAACAGTTGGAAATATTGAGGTCCTCTAAGGTAAGTGCATAGCAGCAGTGATAACACCTAGGCCCAGAGGAAAAGTATACTCAAATTCAGTTTGCTCTTCAGCCCACAGGTCCCAGGTCCCCAAGAGCAAGAGTGATCAAGTGAAGGAATGCAGGAAGAAAAAAAAGGTACTTGGACTTGGATATCATTATTTCTAGGGACAACTTCAAGCAGACACCAAGCTTTCTGACTCTAAGAACTTTGTGGCAGATGCAGAAGAGACGAAAGACAGAATCCATGTTACTGTTTTGTGAGCACGGAAGAAAATGATCAAGGCCCAGGTGATTTTTGTTTGTTACGTTTTTCCTATGCTTTCTGACAGATTTGTGGTGACCTGAGAAAAATCAGTTCAACCTTTTAGTATAATTGGATTCTGGGGAGAAATTAACTTAGATTCTAAATTCAAAAGCAGAGCAAAGTGAAATCAGGAATATGTTACTCAGAGGGGTCATCCTGAAGGATTAACATTGGAACACAGTGTGTGACTGGTGCATCCTGTGGGTTTCGGTAGCTGTCACTTTGAGTCTGATATCTCTAACAAACATCATAACCAAAGAGACATGAAAAGCTATGTGATGTGCACGGACTCTGTGAGGAAGGCAGACCAGTTTCTTGGGGGATTCAGTAGTTTATGCCACTTAGGTCTCCTGAAATTTCTTTGGTGGATTTCCTTGGAGGGCATCAGTGAGGTGTATTCTCACCTGCAGCCTTCTGGTAAGTGGGAAAGCAGATTTCTATAGCTGTCTCTTACAGAGGGCCTCCTCTGGGAATATGTCAAGCAGAGGTCAGTGGGTACAGTTCTTCAGGGCACCATAGTCTGGTGATCCAGGGACCCAACTTTATGGCAGTCTGGAATAAAACCACTGAAATGGCGTAGGAAAATGAAGATTGCATGACTTTCAAATGGTCCTCCATGAACAGGTAGTTGAAGTGGCGTTTGAGTACAGATTTGGCAGTAGTAGTTGAGAAAGTGTTTTTCTCTATTAAGGGTTTGGGTTGTTGGCATCCATGGGGTTTGATTTAAAACTTTCACTCCATCTCAGAAAGTGGGGTATTTTTCCTTGTGTTTAAATTACCTTCCTATTTGTGTTTTTATTTTATTTTGTTTTTACCTTTTTTCTCTTTTGTACACAGGTGACTCATGGTAAGAGAGTGCCTCTTAATCCCCTGGTGTAGCATTAACAAATACCTGGTAGTGCATACTTCTTATATGTATCTGTTTGTGCATTTACATACCTAAATGTATATATCTATCATGTTTTATATGAATGGAACAATACTCCAAACAACACAGATAACTATAAGGGGCTTGCTATTAGTTGAAGTACCATAGGCCTAGTACCAGTTGAGCATCTAAAAGAAAGATGACTGCACTGGACTGAAGCATAGTAGCTGTGCAGCTATGGAAAAGTCCATGAGTTTGGGGCGCCTGGGTGGCTCAGTCGGTTAAGCATCCAACTCTTGATTTTGGCCGAGGTCATGATCTCAGGATCGTGAGATTGAGCCCTGTGTCAGGCTCTGTGCTGAGTGGGAGCCTGCTTAACATTCTCTCTCTCCCTCTCCTTCACCCTCCCCCGCCCTTGGCTCGAGCACACGCACACTCTCTCCTTAAAAAAAAAGAAAAAAAGTCCATGAGTTCATAGTCATACTCAAAAAACAAAGAAACAAAAATCTTTGGAGTTTGATGGGAACAAAATATTTGATTTTTGAAATGATAAATAACACAGTAACACATATGTTCAGAGGTTCACTCTGAATTTAATAGAGTTAGTGTGAAATAGTACAGACTTCGTTGATAGCAGCTTAATACTCCTTGACCCTTGGGACACCTGGGTGGCTCAGTCGGTTAAGCGTCTGCCTTCAGCTCAGGTCATGATCCCAGGGTCCTGGGAT